CAGAAGTCATGGGCGGGGCCCGCCCATGACTTCTGCAGGCTCTCAGCAGTAACAAAGGCTGTGTCTCAATTCATGGGCTGGGTCCTCATGAAGACCCAGCCTAGTTGGGCCACGTGGGCCACATCCTCCCTGGGCTGGGTAGGCTGCTCAAAACTGCTGTGAAAGGAGACTGTCTACCCTTAGTCTGATGTCGGCTTCACGTGGGTTTGCTTGACCACGTGTTCCCCCGTCATCATAGTGATCAGTTTCATGTCTGACTTAAAATGCGTCGGAGCATGTATTTACACGTCTTTTTACTGGAAGAGTAAATTCACTGTTAAAACCTTACACGTAAATAAATAAAGAAAACATTAATAATTTGGATTTAGCTCCAATATCTATGACGGAGTATTAGGGCCACACAATGAGATCTATTATTATTATTATTATTATTATTATTATTACGAGATTAAAGTCGTAATTTTATGAGAATAATATTACGAGAAAAAAGTCATAATCATGATGTGTCTATTTCCCGTTCCTAATTTCCTCCTTTTTTTCCCTCACACCTGCTGTACAGCCATGTGTCTGTGTTTATAAAGTAGTCCATGATGACTAAATCTGTCAATGCATCCATTAATTACAATACGGCTTCAGTTTATAGTTGTTTGCACAATTTCAAAGTACTGCTACTAATAATTTGATGCTAATGTGCTTACTACTTTAAACTCATAATATTACAACTTTAATCTCATAATATTATGAATTTATTCTCGTAACTTGTAGTTGCATTTTGTTTAACATCTTATTGGAGCGTAAATTTCATCAGCTAAGTTGCTAAACTTTTAAAAACAAATCCTTCGGTTCGTGGTAATTTCCAAACTGCGCCGACACGTTAAAAAAAATAAAAACTCCACCGTCTTAATTTCTCTGTTTATTTTTCTGCCTGTGCATTGAATCCTGGGATATCCTTGGCTGATGAGGATACATGGATGTGATATGCGGCCGACAAATGTGCACTCATGAGGACCCAGATCCTGACTTGAGACACAGCCAAAGCAAACGAGTGAAACTGAAAGTGAAACTGAAACTGTCTGCTGAGCTCTTAACACTACTTCTCACTCAGTGAAGCTCTCTTCAGATTCAAAATACCTTTGAGGAAATGTGTTTTCAGTGCCAAGTAAACTGCATCAAAGCGCATGCATGACACCCCCAGCGGAAGGTGGTTCTTAAAGAGACAGAGGCCAATTTCAAGGCCTTTAGAAGAGGAAGTGATGAGAAGAYAAGTTTATTTTCTATTTAAACATAAGAACAGCATTTTAATAACAACTAAAGGTGACATATATACTTTATCATGGTATAGTATTTAAATGAATGCCTGAGAAACATATAATATTGCCCCTTTAAACATTATTGTTCAATCTGTAAACTCTCAAAGTAAGTTTTGGACACACCTCAGCTATGGCTACACAAAAATTAGGCTCATCTGTGAATTATGTGATTTGTTGCTATTTTGCGTTTGCTAAGTTCAGTTAGCTGTGGCAGCCTTCTTGAATGGGGTTGACTCAGAAAGTTAATCAGTTAATAATGTTTATGTAACGATTACTTTCTGTGGATTTCATTCACTTACTTTTTCTGCCTTTTTTTCTATAAAATAGCTCTGGATTTTGATGTAAAGTTTGTTTTTACATCTCGTTTTATTTCTCTGCATGCGAAACTGAAACTAGACCTATTTTTGTTTGTTTCCCAGATTTGATCTGTCTGACAGAGACAAGTTCTTTGACAGCAAGACAAGAAGTTCTATAGTAAGTACTGGTCTTAATGCTAATTATGGTGAATCTTTGAATTTGCAATTTGAAATAGCTGTCATGTCCTTGTTCATATAGACGCATTTAATACCCTTTTTATCATCCATCTTGCTTCTTTAAGCAAAGCAGCAGCTGCTTTGGTCTGCGCACAAACATAACACCTACACAGAACCGCCTAGTACATCACTAATGATCAGATAATGTGATTGACCTCACAGTATTGGYTTGAGCAGTTCTTGGCTCTCTGTGCTTCAGCTCACATCAATAAAACTCTTTTTAGTTCCTTTGTATTTTACATTCTCTGGACCTCTGCCTGCTTTATTTTTGTCTGTTTCTGTTTCTTATGTTTTGTYAAAACCAAGACTTCATGAGCAGCTGCATTTCTCCTTTATGCATTTAAAGCTGAATCTGCTTAGGTTTTCACTTTTTAATGTATTTTGTTGTTTCTCCAGGTTTATGAGGTACTGAAGAGGACAAGATGCACAAAAGCCAAATATTCCATGGGTAATGCATCTGATCTCACATACAGGGAATAAATAAACGTTTATAAACTGAGCACAAAAAAAGTGTGAAACTTGTGTTTAGTAGATTATTTATTTGTTGTAATAAAGCTTCTTGGCCATAAATCTTAATGTTGGAAAGCCTGTTAGTTTTCTTTTTAAATGGTGCCACATTTGTAAGGAACATACATTTGTGAGCTGAGCATTAGAGTTGAGTATGTGGGTTGTACACATAAAAATTTGGCCAAATCCTCTCTGCCAAACAGCTTTTTCTGCTGCTGTTTTGACTCATTTTGTGCTTCTGGTACCCCCAGGTGCTGCCAATCAGGTGGCCAGTATAAGATTTATTGCCAAGAAGCATAAATAATCTACCAAACACGAATTTCCTTACAGTTTGTGTTAAGTTTAAATCTCAATTTCTGCAGGTCTAACAGGGTTCTTGAAATCTGGAGRGTATGGATTTCTAAGCTTTAAGTTGAGATGCTCTAACTATGACCTTTCTTTTTTTGTTCAATTTAAAAAGACTCGTAATATTTACTTTAAAAAATGGTCAAATTACTAAATGGATAATGAAATACTTTATAACAGAAAAATGAGAAATAAATAAATTATTTTCCAGAGTATTAGATCTGAAAATATTCATATTCAGGAATTATCTCATCACCTCTAAAATAAACTTAAACTATCTGGGTTTAGATTTTCAAAATTGCTGTTTTATTCCACGCATTAAGACAGCTCAGTTCTTTACAATGATGCTGAGTTTTTGTTGTTTGCTGAGTTGAGACAACATGTTAGTTTTTCCAAACTGGGTGTTTACCATGGTAAAACCATGATAATCAAAGCTTTAAAGTATTTTTAAATAATAATTAATCATATAACAGTCACAACAGATCTGTTGTCTCTCTCATCTGAACTTTGCTGACATGTTTTCCAGTTGCAGCAGCAACTTGCCGTAATTGCAGAATGTTGATGTGAAATCCTTCAGACTAAAAGACAAAAATACAAAATTAAAAGCTTCATGATGAGATTCAATGTGTTCTTTCAACATCCATCCACATTTATTTATGACGTGCGTGCGTGCGTGCGTGCGTGCGTGCGTGTGTGTGTGTGTGCGTGTGTGTGTGTGTGTGTAAAATTTAATCTTGTTGAATATTCCTCTCCACAGGCATCACCAGTCTGTTAGCCAATGGTGTCTACACAGCTGCTTATCCTCTGCATGATGTGAGTACAACACATTTAYTAACTGTAATATATCAAAATCCATAAATGTCAACATCTATAAATAGGACCTCACTTCCATAATAATCCTCAACTCTTTTAACTAAAATAATCTGACTGCACAGCCAATCTCAAACAGCTCACTGTGTGTCGGGATGAACTCTTTTCCGCCTGATGGCCAGTTCTAACAGGTTGAAACGTGCAGCAAAACAAGTTTTCATTTGTAATGTGATTATAGTTGTGGGGTTTTTTTGTTTGTTTTTTTATTTTTATTTTTTGTTGTTGTTGTTGTTGTTGTTGTTGTTGTTGTTTTTGTTTTGTTTTGTTTTTTTGGCACCGTTCAAATAGATCATAGAAAGAGAACATTAACAAAAAGTGCAATGAACAAACAAGTTTCAAAGAAATGTCCTTTAGAGAAGCTGTTTAATGGAGGAAAGTGTGTTTAAAAATTAAGCACAAATTGTTGTGTAATAAAATGTTTAATAGTGTGTTTGTGTGTGTTACAGGGAGACATTGAGGGGATAAGCGCACAACCTAACGACAGAAAGGTAAGTGAATAAGTATGAAATCAAAATGAGACAAACACTACCAGAACCATCAGTTTGCTCAAAGACAACTTTGACTGATAATCATTTTGCCTTTGTCTTAGTGTTGGTTTTTACCACACACATGCACAACAGTGCAGCTGAGAAAGCAGTGAAGATGTGGTGTGTTTGTGTTGGTGATATTGTTGCTCCTCAATGTCAGCCGTTTGTAGAATTACACAAWCATAAATTTGTTTTCCATATGAAAGAGGAGGAGGTGATTCAGTATTTAAAAGGATTAAGYGGCAGCTATTTACACWGCCTGGCCAAAAAACAAGTAATCAACTGGATTTAACTACAGCCTATGATGTGGGGTTACTGCAGTTGGTCAGGTCCAGGTTCAGCAACAGTATGTGCTGAAAGAATGAGGTCATCTGACTACCTGAATATACTGAATGACAAGGTTATTCCATCCTTCCCTGATGGCACGGACATATTCCAAGACGACTATGCCAGGATTTGTGGGGCTCTTATTGTGAAAGAGTGGTTCAGGGAGCACAAGCCATCATTTTTACACCAGGATTGGCTCCACAGAGTCCATTGAGAATCTTTGGGATGTGCTGGAG